GCCGAAACACGTTTAAAAAGGGTTATACCCCGTCGTGGACGGAAGAACTGTTTACGGTGAGCCGCGTGAACGCGACAACGCCTGTAACATACGTCTTGAAAGATGATTCAGGTGAAGAAGTGAAAGGTTCGTTTTACAAAGAGGAGCTTCAGAAAGTGGGGGACAAAAAAGTGTACCGCGTCGAACAAATTATACAAGAAAGAAAGGGTGTCGGTGGTAAAGAGTATTTAGTCAAGTGGTTCGGTTATAACCCTTCATTCAACAGTTGGATTTCAGCTAGAGACATTTCGAAATATAAAGACTAAGGATGGAGGAAACGGTAAAAAGCCTAAGTCTGGATGACCCCGTGTTGGAAGAAACGCTCAGACCGTTCGGTGGGATCGAGGTGAGACCCAGATCCACCACGTCTTCTATCGGTTCGACCATTTCGAGTTGGTTCGGTAGACTAAGGACACGACCGGAAATCGTTTTCATCTCTCAAATGTTGGTTATATTTGTCGTCATTGCTTTTTCACTATTTAATCTGACGCGTGGAACGGTCGACGACAAAGAGGGAAAACTCTGGGTCGTGTTGTTATCCAGCTGTCTCGGATATATTTTACCTAACCCAACCATTGCAAGGACCAAAATTTTACAATGAGTTTTTATGTGACCCTGCCTAGCAATACATCACCGAATGTTTTTCCAGACAACGAGGCTGGGCATTTTTTCGTTAAATTACCACAGACTATCGATGTGAGTTTACACTACGAAGTTGGTCTGGTCGAGATTCAAATGCCGAACGCGTTTTGTATGCTTAGAGAACATCAAATTTGGCTCCAGTATCATTCCAGTACGGAAGGTGAAGACGTTAACCTTTTCATATATGGAGTACGACAGACCAAAAATAATTACATAGACCCGCTTGTTAACGCTATTAAAAAACTAATAAAAAGAGATATTGATGAACAAAAAGTGGAAGTTATAATTTCAAACTGTAACAAGGGATTTAAGAAAGTTGTCGTAAAAGTAATTGCGGCTGGAATAGAAAGTACCATCCGTGACAGGTTGACAGGCTATTTACATATTCCTGGTAGAGTTAGGGAGAAACATCTCCCTGAAGACGAAGTAAAAACGGTATTCGTCTATTGTGACCTCGTAAAAACGAGACCGGTTGGTGATGTCATGGTCCCTTTGCTTCGAACCGTACCGATCGTTGAGAAGAACCCAAGTTCCGTTTTTCGTATTTACGACAAACCACACTACATCCCCCTGAACCGCTTTTCATTCGACACTGTGGAAATACTTTTATGCGATGACTTGGGACAAACGCTCTCATTCACAAGTGGAACGTCGGTGTTGACACTCCATTTTAGAACACGTAAACATTTCGATCTCGAATAACTCACACCATGGTGAAACACACACTTTTACATCGAAACCCTAAATTGTACGAGGATTTTTACTGTAACCAGTACGGTGATGGTTTACCCGTTTTTATCGGTGGACGAAATCAGAGAGGACACGGTATTGGTAGTTTCTTTAGTGGTCTAGGTCGAATGGTCCTCCCTTGGATAAAGACGGGAGGTAAGGCTTTACTCAGAGAAGGAGTTAGTACCGGGTTGCAAGTGGCAAACGACGCATTAGCGGGAAGAGACGTTGGAGAATCGTTTAAAGAACACGCCAAGGAAGCCGGACATCGTTTATTGCAAGGCGCCGTTGATCACCTAGGACAAAACCAATCAGGAAGCGGGTTGAGAAGAAAGCGGGGGTTCTCGAGACCACCGGGTGAACCCTTCGAACAACAGATAAAACTAACACGCAGACCAAACCACAAACATTCGAAGACGTGTGTTAAGAAGAAGCATCCCAACTATTCAGATATATTTGCTTAACCATGGCTCTTATTCACCCGAGTTCCTGTGAGTGCTTACATTCTGGATTGGATTTATTTAGTACACCCCCGACACAAACTGCCGTCGAGGAGGGTCAATTTGTTGAAATACATCCCTTGGCGTCCTTGGCACAAGGTGCACCTATAGAATTTGCCATTTCTGGCAACAGTGAAGACTATCTCGATTTGTTTAATACTTATTTACACGTGCGCGCTAAAGTAACCTTAGCGAATGGTGATTCAATACCAGCGGACGTTGATGTCGCACCCGTCAATTATTTTTTGCACAGTTTATTTTCACAAGTGGATATTTCTCTAAACGATACGCTAATTACTGCTAGTGAGAACACCTATCCGTATCGCGCCTATCTGGAAGCTACGTTAAATCACGGGGAAGAGGCCAAGAATGGGTCTCTATCGGCCGCTCTTTATGCGAGGGACTTAGCCTGTTATTTCGAGGAATTCAAAGATGACAATAATGAAGGGTATAGGATTCGCCGCACCACCGCTGCTGAAAGTCATGAGATCGATATGATGGGACGTATACACTCTGACATTTTCGCTCAAGATCGGTATATGCTGAATGGTGTTGACATTAAAATTAAACTTACACCCGCAAAAGACAGTTTCACTCTCTTGACAGCAGAACCAAACAAGGGATATAAAGCGGTTATAACGTACGCAACATTGGTGGTTAGAAAAGCCAGACTTAACCCCGCCATTTCTATCGCACACGAAAAGGCTTTAACGACAACAAATGCAAAATACCCTTTTAAACGCGTTGTAATAAAAACCTTTGCTATACCGAAAGGTATGTTAAGTCACAACCAAGACAATTTGTATATGAGTCAAACACCGACCCGTTTAGTGATCGGTCTAGTCGCCTCTACCGCCTTTAATGGAAGTTACACGAAAAACCCCTTCAATTTTCAACATTTTCACTTGACGTATTTAAATGTAAGCGTTGATGGTCGCTCGTTATCGGGAAAACCACTGGTCATGGACTTTGATAAGAAACAAGCCATTAGAGCGTTTTTCAATAGTAACCTCGCTCTTGGTATGGTTGGAAAAGATGCTGGTAATGGGATAGATTATAAAAACTTTAAGAACGGGTATACCCTGTTTGCTTTTGATTTAAGCCCTAGTCTTTTGGATGGTGAACAATTTGAATTGGCTAAATCCGGACCTGTTTCTATTGAACTTAAATTTTCACAAGTTACAGCTGACCCGATTCAAGTTATTGTGTATGCTGAACTTGATTCGGTGTTAGAAATTTCGAAAACGAGGCAAGTGCTGACAGATTACACCGCCTAACTTGGCCTATAAAAGAAAATGAACACAAGAGAACTACAAAGTATACTGGCCGCGGACTTATTTGTGCAACGCACAACTCTCTTTGCCGTTTTAGCGTGCGATCAGTTACCCGCGCGGCTCGATAGAACGAAGCAAGCGGCATTCATTATCAATCTAGATTCGTCCTCGGAGGCAGGGAGTCATTGGGTTGGTCTATTTTTCAACGGACTATCGCAATTTACTTATTTCGATAGTTTTGGCTTACCACCTCGGGAGCCGGCCATTTTGTCTTTTATAAAAAATAATTCAAACAGACCACTCGTTTACAATTCAAGAGTGTTACAAGATATTCTAACCAACAGTTGTGGGCTATATGCAGCCTATTTTGTTTTGAAGAAAGCTCGAGGTGCAAATTTAAAAGTTATATTACAACCCTTTTCGGCGTCAGCGAGTCGTCAATATATTAACGATCGTATTATAACACGTTTAACACTTCAAATTATTGGAACTAACTATAAAAGATTATTTCAAGATGTCTAATGAAGATTGGATACTTGTGGCCAGGAGTAACAATAAAGTGACGGAAATACGAACGATGAATCACACCGGATTTAAATTGGCGATTGTTAGCCAATTCATGAACAAAAACACTTTAAATCTTAGAGAGCTTATAGATGGGACCGATCTTAATTTTCCTACAAATTCTGGTGTTAGTATGAGTCGCGTCTGCTTTGAGCGCCTGTTGAGTTTACAGGATGAAATTTTAAAAGCCTTTGATGAATTGGAAAAACGTTAATAAACAAATAAAATATAAGAAGACTTTTGTTCTAATTTTAGTGTGTGTGTGTGTGTATATATATATACGTGTAGCATACGCGTACTAGAAAACCAACAAGGTAATGTCCGGTTGGTCGGCCTAATTACACCACCAGCTGTCGCACAACAGCTGTTGCATAATGACCTACGTGCTTCGCGGAGCTAACAAAGCGATCGGTAAAATCGATTAACGTGGTAACAGGTGTTCCCACACTTAACGCTGGCTTTGCGTTAATTACCATACCCCCCCGGTGGGATGGCTTCGCGAACCCACATAAATCACCATAACCTGTCAACCGCTCGGGGGAAACTCGGTGAAGCATAACAAAAATTTAATTAGGTGTGATGGCCCAGTGGGTGCGATCAATACATTCCCATTAAAACGCACAGCCCTGAAAACTTCGCGGGCGGGTCGATACGTAACAGCTGTGGCTGATCGTTATCTTTAATGGATGTTATTCACAAAGTACAACTAGCACACCCCTACCCTCAAACCCATCATTACTCACCCCTCCCCTCAACCACCCCTCTCCGTTTACTATTAAACACACATACAAAGAAATCAAATAAACAAACCCCATGCTGCGACACCACCCCCACCCCCTACCCTGCGCCACCACCAGGTGGTGGGAGTATTTTACTATATGTCTTTGCGCATCCCGATCCGAGTATTTTACTATATCTCGTTGTACATCCCGATCCGAGTATTTTGCTATATAACCTTTGCGCATCCCAAATTCGCTCCAAAAGGGACCTAATATACTACTACTATGACTGGTATTTAAAGAAAAAAGAGTGTCTTTAAAAAAAAAATCCACTTATTTGTTATAGTTAAATCGCTAGTTAGATATTCGCCCAAATCACCACACTGTTTTTGGTTGCTGAGTGTAACGAATTCCCTAATAAGAAAATAAAATGAGTTTCGTTATCGATTTGTGTTGTTTTTTAATGAAAGTTTTAATATGAGTGTCTAGTATTTTGTTTCTTGAACGTACACAACAGTGTTATTCATTTACAGCCAATCAGCGGCCTAGGCACAACAGGGGAGACAACACACTTGATAACACGCACCCAGGTAAACACGGCTACGAAATGAATTTATGCCATTTTATTACCGTTTTATCTAAGATGCACTTAATATCTTTATTATAAGAATAACAGAGGAATAATGTAAAACTTTAAAAATACTAACATTGCTTATCATTAATACTTACTTAATAATTAATAGTATATCGTTTCACCATATGCCGTCATGATTTACATCTGAGTTATATAGGCTCAAAAATGAAACGCATTAATACCTATGGATCATAATTACTCATAACAATGTTTTCCTCCCTACACCAGGGGTCGGCAACCTTTTGAAGCGGAAGAGCCAAAAGTCACAATTTTCAAAATTTCCCTGGTTTTAAAGAGCCACTAACATTATTTTATTTCAAATATTTTATTTTTTTATTAAGATTATTAGTATTTGTGCAAGGAGCTGGAGAGCCGCATCTTGATATCAAAAGAGCCGCATGCGGCTCGCGAGCCGCAGGTTGCCGACCCCTGCCCTACACATTAGAATTGAATAGATGTGCAATAAATTATGACTGGTAACGTTTCTAATTTAAGAAGTGATCAAGAGTTATCGGAACTGTTGTATTATCGTTCCTGATTAACAACGAAACAATGGAATATCTTTGCTGTTGGACATTTTCCAAAGGTTTGTTCATGCTTCTTAAAAAATGATTTGTTAACATATAGATATTGGATATATGATACATGTATGTATATCATGCGTATTCTACATACATTGTAATACATATATATATATATATATATATATATATATATATATATATATATATATATATATATAAGCTCTATATGGACATATATAAATGTAGAGCCATGTAAACATGTGATATACAATCTAGGTGTGGCTGTGAACGACCTTTCACCCCACTACAGGATGGTGGTAGTGGGAGACCTATGGAGTGGTAAAACCAGTTTGATCTACAGATTCACCAGAGGCACTTTACCAGGGGACGACACTCAGACGGTATTCGACACCGACGAGGTTCAAATACCGATAGATAACAAAAAGGTTGGTGCGTGTTTGATGATGTGCTGTTGTCTCCCTTTACCTCGCTGACTTCTTGTTTGGTGTTTTTGCTGTGTGTGTTTGTGTGTGTGTAAAGTTTTATTCAGCAGTGGCGTCGCTTTGTCGGGCGGCACTTCATGGTGTCACCCCCCCCCCACAAGAAACAAAGTATATATATATATATATATATATATATATATATATATATATATATATATATATATATATATATATATATATATATATATATATATATATGAGTGTGTGTGTGTGTGTCGGCCTACACAGGGCTATAATTAAAATATATGCCACATACGCTTTAATCACTGCAGATTCAATTGTAACGATGGTTATCTATAGTCTGTTAATAATATAGTTGGATGTAATATTGTTTTCCCTATAATTAGCACGATTACGTCATGATGTCACCGCCCCCCCCCCCCCATCATCTTGTAATAATTGTCGATTTGTACGTAAAAGAATAATTAACTTTAATTAATCATTAATGGAACTGGCAAAAAGCATTTTTCTTTTATACATTTAGCAATTTATTTTTGCCTTGGTGTCACCCCCCTAAATGATGTCACCCTGTGCGGGTTGCACCCCAGCCCTCGCTACGCCTCGCTATTCAGTAGATCACCCATACCTTTTAGGCCTTAGGGGATCCCCCACCTCCTCCTGCATTTTGAAAAAAGAAACGTACTTGTTTTTTTGACACATTTTTATCAGAGGGTGGGGGAAAAGGACTTAAAATTTCCAGAGAAATGTCTGAAAGAAACAGTGGCAATCTATACAACATGCCATATTCTATTTCGGCTAGATTAAAAGAAAGAAGATCGTAGCAGTAGTTGTAATGTCGTCTTGAAGTATTACATCAAACTAGGCCGGAAGTTATTAAGGGGAAGTGTGTAGAATTATAAATTATAACATTCGACGAACGTTTTTGTCAAATGAGTTTCATTTGGTTTTTATGTTGCCGTATCCACGAATTCTTAAAGCGGTAAAATATGAAACTTTCGCGTTTTAGAAATTTTTAAAAATAAATTGTAATAGAAATTTATTAAAATACTTTATGTTGACCGAGCTCAGTCGATATTTAAAAAAAAAAAAAAAAAAAATAGATGTTTAAAAACAATTCAAATGCAATTTTGAGGGGGGGGGGGGGGGGGGGGTGGAGGTTGGCAGAGGAGTGATGTCATTTTAGGGGTTGGGGGTCCGATTTTTTTGTGACAGTGTGTTGCGGAGTGGGGGGGGGGGGGGCAATCCTTAAAAAAGCATAACGTCATTAATGGATGATCCCTAAATTGTGTTGGATGAAATTCCTCCCTCCATAATACAATTTTAAAAAATCAAAGAAGCTGTCCGCCTACATACCAGACTAAGCCTTTTGTTAATAAAATGTCCAACCTTATCTTAAGCCTCAGTACTTCCGTGATCAGGTTTCAAAACGGAAACAATGAAAACGCTCCGCCTGCTTATCATATCACGTGACAATGCACTGAGCAAATATCACGGAACATTCTCCGGATAGCAACCTTCTGTGGTGTCAATAAATGATGTCACGTGTTTGATGGTAGTTTGATCCCAACCCTCTATCGGCACGAACAGAGTTTCTTCCAGGCATCTCTTCGGGGGGGGGGGGGGGGGGCGAAGCCCTCCCCGAAATTTTTTTACCGCCCCCCCCCCCCCCCGAACGAAATGAAATTTATATAATTTATATAGAAAATATATACTTTTTACAGTGTCGCACCCCCCCCCCGAAGAAAGTCTACCGCCCCCCGAAAATTTCAAGTGCCCTCCCGGAGAAAAAAGTCTGGAAGAAACACTGGGCACGAATTGTCACTTTCCTCTCAATAGCAGGAAGGGAGAGGGTACCCCTCTCTGGATAAATGCCTGAAAAAAAATCACAGCTCAAAAGACGTTACAATAAAATCCACCCCATTTCATTAAATGACCAAAGTTCTATACGGAAATTAATATAATTGTTACGTTTTATTTTATAGAAAATGTTTATGCCACATTTCGTAACTCTCTCCCCTCCTCCCCCCACCCCCCCCCCCTTTGAACACATAGTCACAAAATTCTTAAATCCATCTCCACTTAAACGTAAAACGTCACGTATGAACGATCTCTCAGTTAAAAAGGTATATAATTTTAAGAAGCCGCCTATGTGAAGTAAAATGTAAAAGATGGGGGGGAGGGGGGTTCTAGACCAGATATTGTGTGTCTTCCAATAGTAAACAAGCGTGTTTCCATTGGTTCAAAAAGCCCAAACACCAACAGCAGCCATTTTTATTTCTCCCCAGGTATACCTGACGATCAGAGACACGTCCGGTACAGAAGAGGACGCGCGAATCCGCGCCCTAGCATACGACAGCTGTGACGTCATTCTCATCTGCTTCTCTGTGGCGTCGCCTCAGTCGCTCCACAACGTGGTGTCCGAGTGGGCTTCAGAGGTCCACCACCTGTGTAAAAACGTGCCCTATTTACTGGTGGGGACCCACGCAGATCTAAGGGACAACTCGAAACTTAAAAGAGCCGAAAAAGAGGTTAAATTTATTAGCAACAAAAAAGGGGAGCAAACTGCGAAAATGATAGGAGCTAAAGGATATTTTGAGTTCTCTGCTCTTGACGAGAGAAATGCGGTGAAAAAGTCGAAATTTATTTTTGGTAGAGCTGTTAGAGAAGTTATGAAAATCCGGAAAACTTTTGGATCTTAACAGTGTTAATTTAACTGTGAAATATTGGAACACCTCGCGTACTGAAATAACGAAAAAGTAGGGTGAAACAAGGAGGACGACTGCTGATCATCTTGACCTGATTGTCTGATGGTGACCTTGACCTAATGCTCTGCAGATCGTCTTGCCCTAATGGTCTGCTGGTGACCTTGCCCTAATGGTCTGCTGGTGACCTTGGCCTAATAGTCTATGACCATGACCTAATGGTACGCAGTTGACCTTGACACAACGGTCTACAGTTGACCTTGACTTAACGGTCAGCATGTCATTTTGCCTTAATGATCTGATGGAAACTTCGCCATATTTTCTACTTAAGTAGTGAATACCCACAGACAACTCCGTCATATTAACACTTTTGTGATGTAATAGTGCACGATCCTATATTAAACAAGACACAAGTATACCACTATACCAGTTAGGAAGGTTTTGAAGAGCCGGGTGCTGAGAAAGATACATCTCATTCAAGATTTTTTTAAAACTGGCAACCATAACAAATATGTATGAATATTGACAAAAAATACAAAACCTTCTCTACTAGACACTGATGATTTTGTCAGAATAATGTCACAGGAAATCAGGAGCAGGTGTATTTTCAACAAAGTGGGATTAAAATACCAACATTACAGTAAAAATATGTTGGACTACTAAGAATAAAAGTCAGTGTGCTAAACCAATGATAGACTGTATTGCTATGTAATGTATGTTCTTAAAGTATCACAACACTGAAGAGCTGTGATTCAAAAATCTGTTTTGACAGGTAATGCTGTCTGTGATGACGAACACAACTATATCTAATAGGAAAAAGGCATCAGTCAAGCAGAACCAAGAAGTAAGATCCAGTTCAATAGCTCGACCAATTACAAAAACTGTTGATGGTCAGCTAATCAGTGATGAACTTGGTCATCCAACCTTGTAGCAAGAAGTTGGACATAGACATTGTTAGGGGGTAGTCAGATGAATTCAAGTTTAGAGAGTAGTTTAGTTAGGTTACAGTTGAGGAGAAAATTGTTGTAGCAATAGAAAGTTCTAGTCAGTCAAATAGTAGAAGTTACATACAACAGAGTTAGAATTATAAATAAATTGACTGTGCATATATTAAATAAACATTGCATTTGAACAGTGTCAGTTGTGTTAGAAAATCTGTGCAACATTAGAAGGGTTGATCCCCAAAACCCATACATACAAATTACAGTGTACATATAACCCTACCACTCACCACACGGACTTCTATTTATTTTAAACATCTTTTCCCAGTTTGGCCAATGTTTTCCAAATGTCCAGCACTGTATTACATAATGGGTCTAAGTGTTAAATAGGGAGAGTCATGTATATAGCTGTTTGAGATATTCCACATGTAAACACAGGTGCTACATTTTGTTACTCTATATTTTTCTACCCTTGTATTTATCACATGGATGCCATAATTATTATTTAAAATATTCTAGTGTATTGACATAAACAAGTCTATAAGTAGTATAAGAAATTGAATTAAACCAACTATTAACATTTAAAATAACTGATTTATTTATTTATTTTTTGACAACAATCAAGTTAAAATAGTTTTTAACAAAACAGAATGATTTAAAAAACATTCCAAATATTCTCAGAGTTCTGTCAGTTCTAGAGCAATGCCCAATCCCTGTATACCACCACAGGCTAGAATTTTGGCTTGGAACACATGATGTTGGGTAGATACTTCAACAGTCAACACTAACAGAAACATTTATATGGTCAAATTTTTCTAAATATAAAAAGTGCTCATAAGGGGAATAACTGCTCAAAAAATAAAAACATCTGGCCATTAGCATGAGCTAAGTCCTTTTAGTGAAAAAGATATCATTGCAAGATGCTAAATCCTGGTGAATAACAAAACAGAGGCTGAAAGATGATTGTAATCAAACTTACAAATGTGACAAATTCTAGCAAGCTACAGTTTATTTACTGGTACATGATACTAGTGGTTAGTGTAGGTAAAATGTGCTTTCTACGAGTTAAACATGACTAAATAAAGCTAACAACACATCAAATTATTTAACATACTTTTCATGAAATGTATAGGCTACAAAGTTGATATATGTTAGAAATAATTGCCAAGCTTACAAAAAAAAAAAAAAAATTTAATATTGGAATAAGTTTTTTACTTGAGCGATATGTAACAAATAAGAAAGAGAAACGCTAAGAATTTGTTGAAATATTTGCGTTACAAACAGAAAAATAAATTATTTGAAGTATAAAGACCCAAAAAACATTTAGCTCCACTGTACAACCTTGTGTAACACTGAAAAATGTTACATCACAGTGTAACACTGAAAATGTTACATCTTGGACATCATGTAGCATTAAAAGTTTTACTTGCTTTATCAGCGAGTGAATTTACACAACAAAAAACTTATTGTTTGAACAAAGGTTGCTTTAGACATGTACGCTGTGTTAATTTAAGCACCAACATTTAGAAAACAAAAAATCCCACTGCTACCATCATCAGCCTACACATTCACACAGTAATAAATACCTATTGGAGTGGTAGCACAGGAAACAGAAACATAACATTGATAATACTATAGACACGAGAATAAAAACACCAGCTCTGTTGTAGTCAAACAATTACCTGACAAGCCTCACTAAATGCTGACCAGTTTGGAGAAAGATTCTGTCATCATCAGTTTGAAATGCTCATTTTTAAAAATGGGTGACAATTCGTTGAATAGATCTCCAGAATCACTTTAAACATTACAAGTAATGTTTTCAAATTTAATGTACATAAAGCTTCAGTGAACAAGTTAGCATTCAACTAAAGATATACTCTTCTAGTAGTTATCATGTATGTTACAAGGTATGAGACCATATGGTTTAAAATATTTAATCAAGTTAGTAAATGTATGTCGTATAGAGCTCTAACTGGTAATTTAACTAATCAGAAATTTTATTAGTTTGTAGTTTTCTTTATACGTTAACAAATCTCCATAGCAAGGAGGCATAACAAATTTGTTACCTTATGACTGTTACAAATTTAGAAGTCTACAAATGTACATACAGTTTAGCTGAATTCTCAGCTTGGCAAAAAAAAAAAAAAAAAAAAAAAACAAAACAACCCCATTTTAATCAGTAGTAAATTTTTGTTATATTTCTTGATAATAATGAATACAAAATTTATAATAAAAATTTCAATTAACTACAAACATTCATGTTTCAAGCATGCTCACTATTTATAGTCACATTCATAACAATTGTACAACTATCAAACCCAATTAATACTTGCAGACATTTTTGTACATTCTATGTGTACTACTATATGCTCTTCTGTTTCAATAAGCCAAATGATGAACAAATCCTTGAAAGCAGATGTTAGTCCATCCCATATATGAACACACTGTTTACTCTGCATGGCCATGACCCTGGCTCAGGAAATTCCCAATGCCAAATTTGAACTTGTACTTGTTTTTGAGGATGGGGATCTGGAAACCATCGGCCTTGATTTTGTTGACCACTACCATACTGGTGGTCACAGTGTTGCCCACAAACAGGAAGAAGTGGATAGCACACAAAGCTAGCACCTGAAACATAAACAAACAGTAATGAGGAAAAATATATAAACATTAATAATGGGTCATGTATAACTATTTAGGTTCAGTAAATAAGTTATAAACCCTTTTCAAAAAAAAAATGGCAAACTTAAAAATAGAAGAGGGTGTCATAAAATAATTTAAAAATAAATTTGATTAAAATCCATAAATCATTATGTTGTACGAAAATTTACATTCATATGGTTTGTAATTAACAAGATAACATCACTGAGTCACAGTATACAAAAATAGTTTTTCTGTGTGCTACAAAATAGCGGTTTATTTAAATGAATGGTGAAAATTTGAACATGTGCTTGAACTACCAAACCCTTATCAATGGTATTACCATCTCTTGGTTGTAATTTAAAAAACATGAAACAGATAAATAAAACTTGCAGTGCTATCCAATAGAATTATTTAACCAGGGACAGAAACCACACTGCTGAAAGGGTTAATATATGGATCAATTGTCTAATAGATCATTGGATGATTGTGCATTGGGAATCCAAGCACACAGCCTAGGTGGCAAGATGAGAAGAGCCAGATGTTGCCCATGGATCAGACCCACTCCCCCCCTCTCGCCACACATCTGATGGACCCAAGGGACAGAATAATTAATAATGAACATTAATCCCTTACCTGCCACTCTGTGCACCTTGGGTGATAAGCTAACACAAACAAACAATAAGCATTGTACAGCTGGAAAAACTGAAACAAGGAAAATCAGACTTCATTAACACTAATATAAACCTAAGTTCAATTCTGTAAACTTTTGTTTGGTTAGTTAATAAATTCTGCTAGTTATTAAATTATATAAACAGAGAATTTGAAATTTTTAAGGACAAGTATTGTTAGCTATTAAATGATATAAACAGTTAAAGAATTTGAAAAGGACTTGTATTTTGACATAACAGACATGAACTTACATAACCAACAAACAAGAAGGGCAGTAGAAATGAGAGGCCCTTCCACATCCAAGACATGAAGCCCTCTGTTGACAGAAAGAAGTTACATGTCAAACTTGTAATGGCTGAACTCTCAGAATAAGAGGCCAAATTGTATCAAATGAATAGGACCTACTAGGCATGTCAGTGGCTTTATAAAAAAATACAACAACTTAGATGCTGGAGTCGGTAATCTTAAAAACCATTGACAATAAAATAAAACTTAGATCAAGATTAAGTTAAGTAAAATTTCCTTTTTGAACCGGGTGGTCTATGGGGCAAGTGAAGTAGAGTTCAGCTGATTCGGTGACCTCGGCAGATGAAGGGATAGAGTGGTCAGCATTATGCTCATCTGCCTTTACTTTCCCTAACTTCAGTTAGGTACCCATCAGAGCTGGGTGTACTCAGGGATGTTCTACTGACTTAAACCCAGATTTGAACAAGAATTTAGGGTTAGCAGTCTAGCACTTTACCACTAGGCCAAGCAGTCCCATTAGATCAAGATTCAGACAAGTGAAAATGTGGGTATAAAAGTTCGAAAAAAAAAAAAACCCCCATGTTTAAACACTGACCAACAGTGATGTCCATCTCATGACTTTCTCCCAGTGAGCGCAGCCTGTACAAACAACCACTTTGATAGTAGTACTGTAGTACATAGACAAAACCTGCAAGACATTGTTGGCAGTGTTATGAAAAGCGCCTTTTTGATATGCAAGTTTACATTAAAATTAAACACAATCACATTCTTTAATTGAAAGAAAAAAACAATTTTAATAAAAAATCTGCAATAATTTATAAAGACTTACTGATATACATAACAAAAAGAATATGTTGATATCGAAACTGTGAATATGTGAAGCCATCGGGCCTGAAATAAAAAAAATACAAGTACAAATTGTATTAATTTTGAATAAAGGTATCTTTCAAAATTAAAAATTACTTCAATACAAGCACACACAAAAACAGCAATAAAAAGTTGGACGCATGATATCCCAGTACCTACCAGATAAGACTTATAGCAGCACAAACTGTTGAGACAAAATGATGGGTTACCCACCAGCCTTTGATTCTGGAAATATACAGCCTTGTTAGATTAACACATCCATTAAAAAAAAAATTAATCTTCAACTAGTGATCCTTCAATAGACTTTGTATCCTCTACAAAATAAACCAAACTATAAACTTAATTGTAAATGATTAATTCTTTCTAATGGCTAAAATGTATTAAACAATAATTTATACCTAGAACCATTGACCCTCAAGATACTCTCTCTGATAGTTAGAGTGCAGTAGTACCAGACCAGTAGAAAGTTGAGGGCAGCATCACACCATCTAAAACACAAGTAATGTATTGCACTAAATTATGAGTTGACCAAAGTATTTCAACTGGTTGTTTGTAGGTTAACACGGTTTTAAAAATTGGAAATTAAAAATAATAAAATGATTTTACACTTGCATATTTACATTTTAACAATTAAAAAATAAATAAATAAAATGGATTGGTCATAAAAATTACTTAAGACTTTCTTTATAGGTCTCCTTTGTAAACAGTGTAATTAGTTTTCCTAAATAAATAGTGTAATTAGTTTTCCTATATAGTGTAATAAGTTTTCCTACATAAACAGTGAAAGTTTTCCTATATAATCTTCCTGTATAAACGATGCAATTAGTTTTCCTATGTTCTTGAACACAACAATTATGGGGCACTGACCTGGAGCTGACGGCAAAAGCTGCAACAAAAGTCAGGGCGAGGATGATGTAACTGACAGTCAACTTGAAGGTTTCATAGTCTTTTTTGTAAATAAACCTAGAAGGAATCATAGCACATCATCAAAATTTAGTCAAAATCAGCTGAGTGAACTAATAGAAAGAAAATGAGTGTTAATGACAGTAACATCTCTATAAAAATACATCACACAAGAACTTGACAAGTTGATAAGATTGGTATGAGGTATAAAAAATGTTTTTAACTTCTTAAAATGTTATCATTAAAAATTATAACTAACTAAAATTTAACCTTGAATGTGTAAATTAATACTTACTTTGCTTCTTTTGTAAGTAAAGAGACGTTAACTTGACCAAGAATAATTCGTAGATAAAGACTGGAAAATAAAAGTTTTTGTTGCTACATGAATACATTATAGTCTGCGAGAAATTCAATCAAATTAAAAACAAAAATGACAACTGCACACCTACATAATAAGGGGGACAATGTTTTAACTAATAAAAATGTTTTAACAACCACCCGCTGTGTCTAAATTTGCGAGAGGCCACATTTGTACCTGTTCTTATGAGGTAGGTTCTCCTCCATTTCATGGAAATTGATTTTCCTCTCCGTCAGCTTGACCTTGAGGTCGGCTGCTTGTCTCTTCTCTTCTTCCCCAGGTGAGTTTTTTGTTGCCCTGTTTGAATAAAGTTTAAATGTAGTCTAGTTCTAACTTTTTCAGTAAGTAAATATTTCACAGTAGAATACAGTAAGTAAACCAAACATTTCCATGTCACAGTATTAGTGGAAATCTAAATTTGCTATGACCGTGGTCACAGGTCACCCATCGTACTGATATACTAATGCAAATATTGACTAGTTAAACTAAGGTCTCTACCAGCCGAGAGATAGCTCTTAGGCCAGGTGCCACCATGAAGCCCAGACCTGTGGGGGTGAAGTCAGGCCAACTGACTAACAATCCCACCCACAGATACCATCCAGGAGCTGCAGTTCCCAACTCGCAGGAGTAGATGGGCATTTAAACAGACTATCCCTTCAAGGCTAGTAAACTTAAATAATGACCATAGATTACCTGGCATTATTGTCAGTGATGTTAGTGGTTATAGATTAGCTGGCAATATGGTTTACAACATTGAAGATTATAGATTACCTGGCAATGTTGTCTGTGATGTTAGTGGTTATAGATTAGCTGGCAATATGGTTTACAACATTGAAGACTATAGATTACCTGGCAATGTTGTCTCCTATACATTTCATTCTGTATCTGTGATGAGCTATTTGGGTGATACATTTTTTCTGGGCTGCACTTAACTGTGACAGCAAGTCACAGTACTTCTTGTGTTCTTCCTGTGAAACAGATATGGCCGTTGTGAGCTCAATGTATTTTAACAAGCACAGTTTTTACAAAATGTTGTCATTTGTTCCCAGTTACATTGCTATGCATGATGCTAAGCTGACAAGTTGCATATCTCATTATCTGGTGTGAACCTTAAAATTCAATTTTTTCAAATTACTCATTAATTAAAAATTATAATTACTGTTGGTAAAAGTGATTGAGGCGACCAGTCAATTTCAAATTTCACAGGACACACATAATTCACCACATAGATCAAACCAGTGATACCCTGGTGAGAAACTAAAACAATCGATCTAAATCTAAGGCCTAATAGACAAAATAAAGTTTGGCTCAAACTAGATTTACTTGAAATAACAAAATGAAATAAAACAATGAAACATCCAAATCACTAGAACTTGATAAAAAAAGTAAGCTTGGACCTGAAATCTCATGTTTTATTTAGTGTAGTTGTAATCAACTGTAATGGCTGGGTTATGGTTTTTAAAGGCCTGCCCTAATATCTGGCTGATAATCATATTGATTTATTATAATTACTAGTCTAAATTATTAGGCTATTCTAAAATTATTAGCCTATTTTAGGAGTAGGCCTAATAAGCCTAATTTTAGAGTAGTTAGTAGGTTGGTTAATTTTACAATTTTAATTCTAGTTATCTAGAAAATAGAATAAGAATAGATAGATAGTATTTTTTTCGCTAAATCTAAAATGTACTCAATTTTCAATTTAAACATGACTACTGAATAATAGACATCCATATTTAATTTTGAGGTTTTTAATTCGTTGTTAACTAAATTACTTACTTAATCATTAATGTAATATTTATTGTCACTTACAGCTATGGCACGACACACCATTCCAAAACAACACATTATATCACCCTTAAACTACTAGTACTGTGACCTGATTTCATGGGTGGATTTCTTGATTATTTTTAAAGATTTTTCAATAAAACTGCACAGAAGCATATTAAAATATCTTAGAAATGAATTTAGATAGCTAAAATTTAACATAATCAATAAACAATTAGGCTAAAGAAAATAAAAAGTAGGCTAATGCCTATATAATGTATAGGCCTAGGGGTGGCGGATAATGATAGTAAAAAAAATAAAAAATCTTTGTATTTTTGTGTTTTATGACAATATTTGTACATAATTAACATGCCATGCTTTTTATATTCAAAGAGGGTAAGTATACTATGTTACAAAAACTGCAACCTTAATTAACTAACAATGCATATTTTTACTTAAAAAAAATGATAAAAACGATAATAAATTAGGAAAATGCTATACAATCTGTTTTTAGATTTGATGAGACATGACTGATAAATCTAACCAAATGATTGGATTTTGGCGCTACACAAATTTTCCTGCGCTTTGTTTTTGGCAAAAAGTATAATAAAATGGCATTGGGGGGGGGGGGGGGGGGGTGATATAGCTGACATCTTACCACAAGTACAGATGTGAGAAATATTCCCAGATGTTGTCATTTATAGAAAGTAAAGACTCTGAGCCAATGCCGCATTCTTCGATATTTAATGTACATAGCGTAGTTTAGAAGTTATTTTATTTTAAGTTCACATTAACACAAGAATAAATAGAGCTACTTTCACTAAAGCGCCGCTTGTTAGAAATTACCCGTTTTTAATTAAGTATGTTAATCATGAATAGTTAGGTGTACTTTTTACCTAAATTCCAATTACTAAAATTGACGATGGATTCAAAATCATTGGTTTTATCCCTCTACCCCTTAGCCTACTGATAATGAAAACGAAAACACAGCGCCATCTTTGTAAAACGCTTTGAGAGCTTGCGCCGAGAGATAATATAAAAAAACAAACCCCGAAGCCGTGAATTGAACGGCCTAGCTAGAGTCTGTGACTCAGTGAGATAAATTAAATATAAAAAAAAAAATTAGATTTTAGATTCTAATCTAGATCTATCATCTGGATCTATTCTAACTTTAAAGAATGGTCTTTAGGCCTAGCTATTCTTTAAGAAATAAGATTTAGAACTAGAGTAGATTTCCTAACGCGGTCACACATAGCAAAAAAATCCGAACTCCCGATTTTCATCGGGCGCTATTTTGTACCCGTTTCACACAGAAACAAACTGAAAGTACCGTGTTATTCCGCCGCCATTCTACTCTAATATTTATAAATCATTTTGTATTCCTACGCATAGTATTTGAGATATTCATGTTTTAGTGACGTGCCTGCTTGCGATCTTTTTTTCCCCTTTTTTTTCTTGCCGGCGGTCACATTTTCCTGTTGCGTAACAAGCGTAGTTTTTTACGTTTTGATCCAATTTTAAAAGCTAAAATAAATAATTTACACTTTTAAACGTGTTGTTGATTGTATTATTAATTAATAGACTGCAAAACCAAATAAAAAACACTTTAATTAAATTTATTAACAACACATCACGGATGACCCAGTGATAACTCAAGGGACGCAATTTTAATAATCATAACAAAGGGACGTAACAATTACTAACAATACAAAACCTAACATTTGCTTAAATATGCTTGTATATGGAGACACAAACTAGTTCTAGAAGAAGTAGATGATCGAAATAATTTAAAACCACAGAATAATGTATAAACTATACAGATTCTAGACTTAGCTTGAAATATAGAGCATCTAGATCTAGGCTAGTCTAGCTCAAGTCATTGGTTACGCAGCGAGGAAAACGACCCGAATCGTCAGCCCAGCTGCGATCACCCCCATTTGACCTCTCAGGTTGCTTTAGTAGCCTTAGCTATAGTATTTACAGTGTCCCACACATATGTAGAAGCTATTTATAGTTAACCTAATTATAAACAGCTTTGATTGGTTAGTTTTATTCATCTCATCCCGGACCTAGTGCTTTCATCCGGGGGAACTGGGATCACCGGTTGACGTCATACCTCAACTTAAAAATTTAAAAACTTGTCTTCCAGAAGGAGAAAACAAAAGAATTTGACCTGGATATATTTAGAAATGGACATGCTTACAGCAGATACCGGTAGTTTCGTATAAAGCATCCAAACAATTATTTTACGAAGCGAAAACGGGAATGTGATCGCAATATGGCTTTGACCGCGTGAGGAAATCTACTCTAGATCTAGATTCTACTTCCACTACTTCGTGATAAAAAAAATAAAACACAACGCAAAAGAAAAAAAAAATTGACAGTAACAGTTCAGACAGAAAAAAAGGTGACTGACCGCCGATACGTGAGATAGAGTTATCGCTAGAACTAGACATTACTCACGTCTAACTGCACATATTCTTTTTCTAAATCATTCCAATCATCAAGTGCTGCAAATAAAAGTACGTTTGGGGAGGATTCCCGCGACATTTTGTTGTATTGGAAGTCTAGAATCCAAAGTCTTCGGCGTTAGCCTAACTTTGCACTCTTGGTCTTTTTCGTATTCTTTTTCCGGTGACGTTGATTTGTTTTACATTACATTTTCTAAAATGATAAACCGGAAAATAAAAGGTATAAAATAACAATGATTGTAGTAGGCCATAGAAGATTCTACACCATAATATTAAAACTAGAATAAAAAAAAACAACAACAACCTATTTTACTATTTATATTTAAAATTACTTTCTTTTGTTTTAAGTTGAATTGTAAATCATCAATAAATAAACATTAATTAATTTAATTTTGTAGTGTATTCGATCTATAGGTCTATATTGAATTGTAGCATCTATTTTGATAATTAATATAGGTATATAATCAATATTATGCTAAATAAGGCTATTTTAACGTATTATAGAAAAAACTTACCCCGTTGGCCCCACGAAAAATTATGAACGACTAACAGATAAGAGAAATTTTTTAGCCTTGAATGCAACACGTTTATCAGATTGACAACACCGTTGACAGCAATGACACTGTCGTTAAAAATATACCACAGTAGTAATGCACTGTAGTGACATATCTCAACTAAAGAAAGGAAATGCTAGTAATCTATGTAGTGTATAAAAGTATGTGATTCAAATGCTCCGTAAATTTAGTGTTAGTCTAAAGTGTATGTAAATCATTACTTGAATATGCCTACCGTATGGTATAAATTAACGTCTATTTTAGTACAAAAAGTTAATAACCCTTCCGTGTAAGCCTAGAATATAATGAATACGTTAAAGATGAATCGATCATACGACTGAATTAGTCCTTAGTATGTGATAATAATGGGAGACATAGAGCTTACTGTCTTTAATTAAGTGTGTGTACGGAGTGGGGGGGGGGGGCGCAATGATTACATCCTGGGCACTAGAGTATATGTGAAGAGATCGATTTCATTATGAGAATCGCCGCGTCAGCTAACAGAACAAAGCAAAGCTGTTGACTGTCATGTTATAAATTGAGATTTTTCAGTTGGCCCATGCTAATAAACTTCGTACGTTTTTCTAGGCCTATACTGATCACTATGCAGTGATCATAGTTCATGCAGAGGCGTAGCTAGAGGAGGAGATGGTGGGGCGGCCGAGTCAAAGGGGGCGCCTAACCTGGTAGATAATAACATTTAAAAAAATAATTGCTGAATTATATACAGTCGAAGAAGAGAATACAGACTGCTATTTAGAATTACGGACTTTTGTGTCTTCTACACAGTAGCGTAGCGAGGGGGGGGGGCATATGTCCCCGGGCGCCGAGCTTAGGGGGCGCCAAAACGGGTTGGAAAAATAAATTGAAAGGTTGAGGGGGGTGCAAATTGAAAGTTTGAGGGGGGGTGCAAATCAAAATCTCAAGGGGGGGGGTGCAAATCGAAAAGTTTGTCCCCGGGCGCCGGGAAGGGTCGCTACGCCTCTGCTTCTACATCACTTGTGTGACAAGAAAATAAAAAGGAAAAGTGACTGGTAAAAAGCGCCACGACCTTTCCAAATGAAGGGCGCGGGGGGGGGGGCGCATTATTACCAACGTGAATAAGTGAATAACTATATATAGTCCTAATTTGGGGAGGGGGCGCAATACTGATAGTTCGCCATGGGTGCAGAAATTGATCGCTACCCTCTCCACACCATGCTGGTCTGCAGTGGTTTGAACAAAACTGGAGGAGCAAATCTTAATTTTTGTTGTTGTTGTTGTTGAAAGCTGACACCAATTTTTTTTTTCTTGCCGAAATGGGATGGCCGTATGTATAGAATAACGTACTGTAATCACAACATAATGTAATAAATACCAAGGTAAAAAAAAATAACAACGCGAAATATAGAAATGGGGCATTGGGTTATACAATTATACAGAAATCGTCAGAGAGAATGGTGAATTTTGTGCAACGTTTCTTAACGAACATTGCTATTTTAAATCTAAATGCAAGATTGAAAATGCAAAAAATATATCTGAAAATATATACAGAAACAATAAATGCGTTCAGTTAAAAAAAATATGTGTGTAGTTAAGTGTCGATGTTATTGTGTGTGCGAATCGTGACTAGCTGTTGCAAATTGCATATGTAACGGTTTCCATTAGGTATACTTGTACAATTTAGTTGCGCATTTTGCAGGTATCCAAAGTAACGTAGATGAAGATATTGCGTGTTTGTTGTCAGTCGTCCTAGTGAACTCTAACACATGCTAAAGCGATCACTAGGTCACTACCAATCTTATTTAACACCGGTACAATTTGCCGGTGTGCTTATTCTGACTCGACACCGGGCACTGTATCTCAGGTTAGTTTGTTCTCGTTAGACATTGCCTTGCCGTGTAAACTAATACATAATAGCTTTTAAAGTTGATATTTAAAAAAACAAACAACAAGCCTACACGTTGGCGTATACTTGATTTCACGCTAGGCTACGTGTATCATGTTAGATTTAATAGCACGCAGGCATTTCATGCAATCGATTCGTGTTTAATACTACTAAGTAGGCCTACTAACGTACTAAATACTACCACTATGCAACAATCTGTCTCTAGCACTATCACTATCAGTCATCGTGATCTCCCGCTTAACAAGCAGTTTGTATTTTATACTGTCAGCCAAGAAATCGGTAATTTTCATTTAAAAATTAAGCAATAGAATTTTTTTTTTACCGAAAAAAGGTTACATTTGAAAACGAGTTTTAAAAATAGAATTCTACTATATACGTAATTAAAAATTCAAAACTACACATAACAATAAAATAATGTTAAGAAATAAACTGAAATGCAGTATGCAGAGTTTCATATTAGATATGACCTTAAATTAAGAAGAGCAATGCAGGTCGTTCATAAGAAATGGCAAAATCTAAACATCTATGTGCAATGGGGGGGGGGGGGGGGGGGGAGGTGGGGGACGACCTCTGCACTATAAATAAATTTAGTCTATACATTTTTTAAAGACCCCCCCCCCCCACCCCACACGGTTGCTTCCCTACTCGTTGCCCAAAATGCATTTTACAACCGGCACCTTAGGGGCGTTCTTGACAAATATGAACTCACTTGGACTTTGGACCATTACAAAATTTAGCTCTGGTCTCCGTTTTAAATCAGAGCAGAGTTTCTTCTAGGCATCTCTTGGGGGGACGGGACGCTCAACCCCCCCCCCCGCTAGAAAGTCTACCGCCCCCCCCCCCCCCCGAACTAAATGTAATTTACAGTGACGTAGCGAGGTCGGGTGTCACCCGGTGCGGCCTTTAATGGTGTCACCCCCAGAGGCTCGCTAGCGACCTTCGGGACAAACTTTCAAACTTTCGATTTGCACCCCCCTCAATTTTTTTCTCTATACATTTTTGCTATTTTTTGCCTTGGTGTCACCCCCCCTAAATGGTGTCACCCGGTGCGTTCCGCTCCCCCCTCGCTACGCCTCTGGTAATTTATATAGAAAATATATACTTTTAAGTGTCCGCTCCCCAGAAATTTTAGTCCGCCCCACGAAAATTTCAAATGCCCCCCCCCCCCCCTGGAGAAAAAATGTCTGGAAGAAAAACTGAATCAGTGAGAGAGAGTGTGTGTTGTGGTTCTTCCAGGCTTTCTCCAGGGGAAGGGGGCACTTTCCACCATGCCCACCACCCCTGGATAAAATAGAAAAAAATATTAATTTTTATAGAACATATATACTTAAATCAGTGTCCACCCCCCCCCCCCTCACCGAGATGTTTCAAGTACCACCTCGGAAAAAAAAACATCTGAAAGAAACCCTGGATGAGTGGGGTTTCTTAAATTCGTAATTTTTGGGAGTGATGGAGGAACCTTATGTGACGTCATGTGACAGGGGTCGTGCTATGTAAAACTGGGTTAAACATTGGTTAAAATTAATTTCAGGATGTCAGTTAATGACCGCTAAAAGACAGACAGGCGCCAATCTTTCCAAGGTTATACCAGTTAACAGAAACAGTCGCGATCACAGTCTATTGGGAAAAAAATATATAAACATAATCTGGTTGCTCCGAATTCTCAAAATGAACAAAATAGCTATGTGGTGATTGCGGCGTAGTAAAGATGATGTAAACAGATTTCTTTCGGAAACGGGTCAAACCGAGGGCATGCAGGTGATGTAAACAAGTCTAACGTTCTAACAGACAGTTCTCGGAATTGGGGCGGGAGTTACGCGTGATTAAACAGTAGGGAAACTCAGTGGAAAGGTCAAGGCAAGTCAAGGTGACTTCCGGAAAACTTCGAGAGAGAGTAAGGTTAAGGTCACTCATTTTTTGAAACGAGGCTAGACGACAGTATGGAAAACGTCTGAGTATACTATACCTTTCACCAGAGCTGTTGAGCAGATCGGCACTGTATTTCGTTCACGGCATCAATACCTCGTCAATCGTGTGCAGAGATATCCTTTAACTAACACCTACCCTCAGTTACCTCCGTACCTAGTCCTAACCTCATCTCCTAAACTCTAATCCATAATTTATATATACTTTTACCAGTGTCCGCCCCCCCTCCCCCGGAAAATTTAGTCCGCCCCCCCCCCCCCCCAATTCTAAGTGCCCCCCCCCGCGGAGAAAAAAGTCTGAAAGAAACACTGTACCCAAAGCACGACCCATACTTAATATATTTCGAACAGTGGAAATGTCGTACGCTGAAACCCAGAAGTATTTTCAGCAGAAAAAAAAAAGCAATAAGGTAACCTGTGAAAGATCAAAGGTTATACGCACTGTTGTAATCACGTTTAGAAAGTAGAACAAGTATAGTTTAGTTAAACACATGGGACAGTTTTTAAACTGCTAATACTGTATGATATTTTCAAGTATTCCCACCCAGCAAGTGACAGTCAGTGGTTAGCTTTATCTAATCACTAGATGTTAGTACTAACCCGTGATAAGACGGGAGAATTTGCTAGTAATGGCCTTCAAGTGACGAGTTGCGTAGATTGCAGGGGAGAGATAGCATAGTGGGCGATTTACATCTGGTTGGTGGATGGCTGTGTTAGTGTTTGGTGGATGGTTGTGTTATGGTCAGTATTTGGTGGATGGTTGTGTTGTGGTCAGTGTTTGGTGGATGGTTGTGGTCAGTGTTTGGTGGATGGTTGTGTTAGTGTTTGGGGGATGGTTGTGTTATAGTCAGTGATTAGTGGATGGTTGTGTTTTGGTCAGTGTTTGGTGGATGGTTGTGTTAGTGTTTGGTGGATGGTTGTGTTAGTGTTTGGTGGATGGTTGTGTTAGTGTTTGGTGAATGGTTGTGTTAGTGTTTGGTGGATAGTTGTGGTCAGTGTTTGGTGGATGGCTGTGTTGGTGTTTGGTGGATAGTTGTGTTTTGGTCAGTGTTTTATGGATTGTTGTGGTCAGTGTTTGGTGGATGGTTTTGTCAGTGTTTGTGGATGGTTGTGTCAGTGGTCAGTGTTTGATGGATGGTTGTGGTCAGTGTTTGGTGGATGGTTTTGTCAGTGTTTGTGGATGGTTGTGTCATGGTCAGTGTTTGTGGATGGTTGTGTCGTGGTCAGTGTTTGGTGGATGGTTGTGGTCAGTGTTTGGTGGAGGTTTTGTCAGTGTTTGTGGATGGTTGTGTCGTGTTCAGTGTTTGGTGGATGGTTGTGGT